CCTTGTACAAAACAACTGTCACAAACCTCATGTTCTTTTTAATGTTTTAAATAGGATAATCCAGGGGTTCTCAAACATTTTGGTGCCAGGGACCCCTTTCAGGGGAAAAAAATTCCAAGGACCCCCCTCATATTTATAACAGTTATTGAGCACAAAGTTAATGTGTGAGCGGCAAATGAAATATTTTTGCACAAAATGAATGGTCTCCACCCAGGGTACTATGCAGGAATTTCTAAACAGCCTACTGAGGTAACGAAAGTGATCTTGCTAGGAATCACTTAGTTAGGATCCCTCACTTAGGAATTTTTGATGTTCTTGATCTACACATGTGCATTTTAAGGTGTTTTAAGGCCCCACAATTGGATAACTATAGATTTAGTAGAAGCATGTCAGTCAGTGGCATACATTTTTTTTTTTTTTTTTTTTTTTGTCAAGATGTCATGAAACACAATCACATATTCCAATCAGGAATGGCCTTAAAAGAGAAATGTTTCAATAATTAGGCCTATTCTGTACACAAATAAAGCCCATAAGCCTATAAATACAATGATAATGGCATTATGTTTAATAGGTGCGTGCGTTGTTAATTTGAGCTACTGTAATTAGCTAAAAAAAACATACACTATATGTTAAATTTATGAATCCATAATGTTAATCTCATGGGCACAGTATATGTTTCTATTGACCTGCTTTTTCCTTTGTTAAAGTTGAGCTTGATTAATACTTTGCAAACTGATTGTTTCAGTCGTTTTTTAAAACTTTTATCTAAAACAGCTGTTTAGTTTATGTTAATTAAGGCCTACATCTTATCTCGCACTTTATGACCGTTGACTGAAACGTCGTGCGGGGAACTTTGAGTTCACTCCGACTCAAACATTTTGACATTGACGAGCTATCGTTGTTAGTCTGCTGAAGCACCTCAGACGAGAAGGTCAGTATCATCGCGATGTGCATCCTTGCAACCTCAGTTGTGGGTACGGCCCTGTCACTATGCACTTTTATTTTGATAATGATCAGACTTCTAATGTCAAATCTGTAGCAGTGCTAGAACTGACTATTGTGCGCGCACGCGAGACGCCGGCGCGCAATTACATGGGAATTTTTCCTCAGCAGTGGAAACAGGAATACTCTTATTTATGGTCATAGATAAGACAAGAGTGCATCATCCGAAACGGTAAAGTGTCCATTTTTTTTATTTGTGTATAGGCTACATTGTAAATGACTACAAAATGTCATGCCTTTTAAAAATACAGAAAAGAACCGGATGCGGGTTCATGCCGTCTCTCTGTCTCCTTTCTGGCGCACGTCCCGCAAAATCAACAGCAGCGAATACTTGACGCAAAGACATAGATTATCTATCTATAGAAAACTTTAAGTGTCTACTTTGTATTGTTTTATGTTAAATGCTTTATATAAGTTACTTAGGAATAAACAGCATGTTTTCAGATGATAAAGAAAACATGACTCATAGCATGAAAAAAAAACGTTAGGTTGTAAATTATTTCGCGGACCCCCTGGCTTTAGCTCGCGGACCACCAGGGGTCCGCGGACCCCACTTTGAGAACCACTGGGATAATCAATCCCCCTGAACATACTGGCATCATTCCTAGTGCCCTTCTGTGTGACAGATTTCATAAATTTTTCATGGATAAAGTGGCCAGTACCCGGGTCTTAACCCTTGGTGTGGCGCCAGATCCCAGTATTTTACCTTCATGTTCAGTTGTTTTTGAAGACTTTATGCCAATATCTTTCTCTGAGTTGTCAAAGACGGTCCAAAGCTTAAGACCTTCGGTCTGTTCATCAGACAGCCTTCCAGCCAAGCTTTTTAAAGATGTTATTGACACTGTTGGGCCTTGTATTTTAATTTTGATAAACATGTCACTTTCAGCTGGGTGTGTTCCGGGTGCTTTTAAAAAGGCCATCGTACAGCCCCTCCTGAAAAAGCATAATTTGGACTCCTCTGTTTTGTCCAACTACAGGCCAGTTTCTAAGCTTCCATTTTTATCTAAAGTTCTAGAAAAAGTGGTATATGCTCAACTTCAATTGCATCTAAATTCCAATAACATTTTTGAAAAATTTCAGTCTGGTTTTAGATCTGGTCACAGTACAGAAACTGCCCTTTTAAAAGTTTTTAACGATCTTCTTTTAATTTCTGATTCTAGTAGCTCTGCGATGCTAGTGCTTTTAGATTTAACTGCAGCATTTGATACGGTCAACCATAATATTTTATTATCCAGACTAGAGTCCTGTGCAGGCATTAAAGGCACTGCTCTGAAGTGGTTTCAATCATATCTGACAGACAGGTCTTTTTTTTGTAAACCTTGGTCCTTTTTATTCAGACAAAGCCCCAATCGACAGTGGGGTGCCTCAAGGCTCAATTTTAGGCCCAGTCTTGTTCTCACTATATATGCTGCCCCTGGGATCAATCTTCCAGAAATACAACATTTCTTTTCATTGCTTCGCAGATGACATCCAAATATACCTACCTTTGAATATCAAAACAAACTCGGTTGAAGCACTGAAAAAATGTTTACATGAAGTAAAAGACTGGATGTCATTGAATTTTTTAAACTTAAATGACAAAAAAACTGAAGTTGTAATTTTTGGGGAGCCCGATGTCTCTGGTTTTAACAGGAGTCAACAAATACTCCCAAACTGCTGTCCGTTAGTAAAAAGTCTTGGTGTTTTTATTGACAGTTCTTTTAAACTTGATAAACAAATTAGCTCTGTGGTTAAAACAAGCTTCTTTCAGCTTAGGCTGCTGGGGAAGGTCAAGCCCTACCTGCCCCACAGCCAACTGGAAAAAGTTGTGCATGCCCTGATCACAAATCGCCTATACTATTGTAATTCGCTGTACTATGGCCTTGATCAGTCTTCGGTTCGCCGATTACAACTAGTTCAAAATGCGGCTGCACGCATATTGACAGGGAAAAGGCGCAGAGACCACATCACCCCGGTATTGTCATCTCTCCACTGGCTGCCTGTCATTTTTAGAATCCATTTTAAGATCTTATTGTTTGTTTTTAAATATTTAAATGGGTTGGCTCCGTCATATTTATCTGACATGTTGACTTTGCACGCTCCAGTTAGAGCACTTAGGTCCACTGACCAGCTACTTTTAGACTGTCCACGGTCCAGACTGAAAACTAGAGGGGACAGAGCTTTTTCTGTAGCAGGCCCTAAGCTCTGGAACGCTCTTCCTCTCAATATTAGAGCAGCTACCTCTACGGAGAGTTTTAAATCGCTTTTAAAAACACATCTTTTTGCACTGGCTTTTAATACAAGCTGAGCTGTGTCATATTTTTGGTTACTTAATTATGCTTTATTGTATGTTGTTTATGTTTCTGTACAGCAGAAACAGTCTTTTCTGTATCTGTACAGCACTTTGGGGCAGTAGTGACTGTTTGTAAACGTGCTTTATAAATAAACTTGACCTTGACCTTGACCTAGAGCTGATCAATGGTATGATGGGTCATTTAATTTGAATATCCCCAACTGAGCAAGCCAAAGGCAACAGTGGCAAGGAACCGAAAAACTCCATCAAGTGACCTGATGGTGTCCTAAAACTCCATCAGAAGACCCAACGGAGAAAAAAAACCTTGGGAGAACCCAGGCTCAGTCAGGGGCCATTTCTCCTCTGGTGTTTATGAACTAGAGGCCAAATTTTACAGTAACTGTAAGATAAAAAAATGTATATGACTGTAAGATAAAAAATTTATATGGAAGGAAGGAAGACCTAGGACATGCTGGAGGAAGTATGTGTCCCGGCTGGCCTGGGAACGCCTCTGTATTCCTCTGTAAGTGCTGGAGGAAGTGTCTAGGCAGAGGGAAGTTTTGGTGTCTCTGCTTAGACTGCTGCCCCCACCATCTGGCTCTGGATAAGCGGAAGAAGATAATGGTGATGACCACCTCGAAAACAGTTTCTAAATTCCCTTTGATCCTTTGCCAAAACTGGTTTAATTTTCAGACCCAAAAAATATGATAGTGATTAGCTTCCCTTTCACCACATAATCTCCAACAGTTAGCACCCTTCCCCTTTTTTCTGTACAGTATTAGTGTGATAAAAACCTAATAACATTCTTCCAACATAATTTTCTCCATGTGGCTGAGCTTGTAGATTTTCCCCCAATCATCATCTGAGATATAAATTTTTCCCTCCACCATCCATTTGTCTTTAAAATATAAAGTATTTATATTGGCAATGTTTGGAGAAATCTATTATACAATTTGTAATAATCTTATTACATTATTGAGCCTTGCTTACTACCAAGAACACCTTTAATATTACTGTCTCCATGATTTCTAATACTGGTCTGATATTACAATCTTGAAGGTGTCTATAAAAATAATTTTGATTAAGCCTTTTAATGATTCTTTGAATTGTACCTTTACTAAAGAAAGTGTACTAACTAGATATTCCTTACTTAACCCAAATTCGGAATCTACCATCTACAAAATCTGAACCAAAGGGACTCTAATATTCATTTTAATATTCTAAATGCATCTTCCAAGCCACATGTTTTCGTTTGTCCCAGGCAGGGGAGAACTAACCTACCCTTTTCTTTACTTAGTTGTAATGTTTTTTAAATATTGTTCTTCCCATCACTTATTCCTGGAGGGCCACTGTCTTACAGAGTGTAGCTCCAACCCTAATTAAACACGACTGAAGTCTGAAGTGCTATATATTTTGAGGCAGGTGTGGCTCATCCCCCCTCCCCCCTTTTTCCATCTTTATGTGAAGGTTTAAAAAGTTATTTATTTCTATTTTAAATTACTGTACAATAAATGACTTTACATCTGTTGGTTATCTATAATCTTTATCTTAACAAAAACATTTATATAATAAATATCCAATCTAATATCTAACTATCAATCTAACTATGAATATCCAATCCAAAAAGCTGATATTTGTAAATACAGATTTAGTATAACATTTTGTAATTGCCAAATTATTAGGTGTACTCACATGTTTTAATTACTGATAAATTTGTTTTCTTCAGATTGGCAGGTTGTAGATTGACTGGTGAGTGCTGTGAAAGTTTGTCTTCAGCTCTACAGCCAGCTCTGAAAGAGCTGGACCTCAGTGACAATTGCCTGCAGGATTCAGGACTGAAGCTGCTCTCTGTTGGACTGAAGAGTTCAAATTGTCAACTGAAAATACTGAGGTTTGTCTTCACATTTAGTTTCTAAATAGGAGACTTAAACAAACAATAGCTAATAAAGAATATATTAGCGCATAAAAAACAGATTCATTTAAAAAAATTATGGTGAAACCCTTGGCTGTAGCACGGGAAGAAGCAAACTAAAATGCTATTAATGACACATAATTTGCATCACACTCTGCCCCCAAATAACTACTGCTCCGATTAAATAATAATGTATATAATTGGTTGAGTATAAATAAAAAATATACCAGTAGCGGTTCATTTCACACCTAGGCCTTCAGTGGTGTCCTACCTGAATTAATAATTTGTAAAAGTGTAGCACACAGACTCTTTATAATTGTTGTGAATTTGCTGTTTTATGAATGAGATGAATTCGGAAAAGGCCGGGTGAAGAGAAATGAGCAAGTGAGTTAGGTTTGTGCGTTCGTGTACAGTTGTTCTTGCGTTCCAATGAAAAAGTTCAGAAACAGAACCTCCCTTTTCTGTCCTTCTTCAGAGGCAAGTGTGAATGTAAAAAAAACACAAAAAAACCATTTCAATCATAAATTTACAAGACAAATGAAGAAGAAAAGGACATTCAGCAAGGACACAAAAAAGCATACACACCAAAACTACTGACTATTTTTACACAAAATCCATCTTAATTTCTTTCCTCAAGAATACTTCAATTACTTTGTTGTACAGGTTATTTTTGTGTTTCCCTTTTTTTATCTCCATCAAGGCTAATGCTGAAAGTCAAGTCTGTCCAGTCTTATTTCTGCCACAAGTTTTAATTTGGTTTGGGGCTGAGAATGTCCGTTTGACATAACAATGTTTACAGCTAACCCATGCTCTCACCAAGATTTTTTGAAGGAAATCTGAGATCAGCGGGACTTTAGCCTTCAAAATCAGTAATGGCATAGCCTACATTATAGTCAGTTCTGTTTCTACCCAGGACAGATCAAATAGAGTTCTGTGACACTATGTTAAGCTGGATAAGGGGGTCGAGGAGGGAAAGAAACATTAATTAATCTAATAATTAATCTGCTGTTTTGGAGCAGCACTATATCACAGGAGGTCGAGAGGTTCTCTGCTCGACTCGTATCTTCCTAGCACACGACACGAGCCGCAACATGTGATCACAACAGATTCCACGCAATTTCTCCAGAGTGAAAAAAAATCATCTGAGAGCCCGTAAAAAAACAGCAAAAAATCGCACCGTGTACTTTAATGTAGAAGTGATCACTGCAAATGCTTTTCAGAATGTGCCATTTAATTGTTGTTGTGACAGGAGTTTCTTAATGCTTTGTTTTACTTAGATTGGTCACCTGCAATATCACCAGTCAGTCCTGTGAAAGTTTGTCTTCAGCTCTACAGTCACCAAACTCCCGCCTGAGAGTGCTAGACTTGAGTAAAAATGACCTGCAGGATTTAGGAGTGAAGCAGCTCTCAGTTGGACTGGAGAGCTCACACTGTCAGCTGGAGATACTGAGGTATTTAACAGATTTAGATGCACTCTCATCAAGCTAAACATGTCAGTTGTGTCCTGCCCTTGACCACTTGGGGTGTCTGTTTATATGTCATATGTCTGTTTGAGGTTTTTAAATAATTTTTGTTTTGAGGACAGATACTTCCTTAATGGTCAACTTTACAGATAGAGTATATTTCCATCAAGGTTATAATCGTTAACGAAAACTAACGAAAAAACGAAAACTAGATGAAACTAGATAAAACTGTAATGTGTGTTAGCAAAACTAACTAAAATAAAATTATAAAGCAAATGTCCTTAGTTTTCGTCTTTGTCAATATCTTTCATTTTAACGCTATTTAAAACACGCAGTGTATTTGTTCAGCTGCATTTCATTTCCCTGTAACGCTCTCCCTCCGTTTCTCTCACATGCACGTGCGCACACACACGCACACATACACACACAGCCCCTCCCCCTCCGTGCAGTGCACACCGCCGCGTCTCCATGAAAACGAGCCAACGAGGGTTCGATCAATGTTGAAAGCAAGTTTGGGAAAGGTTGGTATCTCATCATGAACATCTTTACACTATCACACATTCAAAAGTGGTGTACAAATATTTAAAATTCTTAATACAATTCTGTCAGTATGTTAAAGGTTCTCAAAGCGATCCTGGGTGTTGACATTCGAATATTTTCAAACAAATCGGAGCTAGACCCTCCCTCCTCTGCATCTCATCTCCTCCCCCTCCCTTCCGTGCTTCCTGAAATAATTGTGAACGTGCATTTCTAGCTAATTATATCCTTGTGTGGGTTTGGCGAACATACGCGTCAATTTAGAAGAAAAAAAACAATTTAACGTTACCCACCTGTCAAGCAAAAACAGAGCAACCTGAATGTCGGACTGGAAGCCCTACTGCCGCCGGAGTTCTCGCGTTCAAAATCTATCGTTCAAAAGCTTTGCTACCGATGTAAATTCGGAACTTCGCACGTTCTTTATCCGTCTCCTTCTTTTTAATTTGTTCCTCAGAACGACGTCTCTTTGGTCGTGTGTCGGTAATTTTTCAAACTTCCCTCTGATGCTTCGCTGCTCTCCTTCACACACACACACACACCCTTCACGTGCACGCGCACTAACCCCCCAGACCCACCCTCAAATACTTCTTGCCAGTGATTGGCTGGAACACTGTTTGTTAGGTTTCGTGGTCCGGGTAAGACATGATTGTTTTTGTTGCCGTTTGTGGAGCCTGTTGTGTCTACAGAGGCCGCGTTTTTTTACAGTGTGTTTAGGGGACAGGCAGCTAGCCGATAGTGAGGAGACGTTTGATCTATGTGACAAAAAACGTTTTGGCCCAGCATCGCTTAGAGAACCTTTAATGTCGACCCGAGAAGCGATTGAGCCTTCGTTAGAAGTTAACTGACTTTTAGTTAGAAGTAAACTGAATTTTGAGGTAAAATGCTGCTGGGTTGTCGATGTCAAAACTCCATAAGCTGTGATTCAAATAGTAAATAATGTTATGTCATTATTTTACTCTTACACTGAATGTTTGCTGCTTCAGTCCAGATTAGTGTTGTATAGGGTAAATTCAGTATATGGTGTGGAAATTATAAAGCTGTGGGATTTTTATATAGAAATTATGTAGATTGTTGGTACGGTAAAGGAATTTCACATTGTAGGCTAGATTTTATGTACTGGTTTTAATGTTAAATAGATATTTCTAAAATTGTATTATGTTCTTGTTGAGTTATTATTACACAATTCTTTTTCTGACATTTTTCAACCATGCCCCTGACAAATAACCCAAACTACAAAAAAGTAACACTAAAACTAACACTAAAACTAATAACAACTAAACTAAAACTAAGCATTTTCAAAAAATAGAAACTGAACTAAACTAGTAAACCCACTTTTAAAACTAATTAAAACTAAACTGAATTTGAAAACAAAAATTCAAAACGAAATAAAAAATAAAAACTAATGAAAAATGCAAAACTATAAACACCTTGATTTCCATGCATAGTAGATGGAGACTGATGATTTGAGTATTATGTTGAGTTGCATTTCATTAAAATCTTAAACTGAGCTACAACTGAGCACCTAAGCATCATATATCAAAATCCACTCTGGACTCTTTTTTGTGCTCTTTTTAAGAGATACAAAGCAGATAAGAATTTCACCAGATTACTAAGTGTAGTTTTGTGAAAAAAGTTATATTTATAATGGGGCTATAAAAAATAAAATGTTTATTTCTGACTAATATTTGTTGTTTAATGCATTCAAAAGTATTAATGCAATTAGCCTCCTTTTTAGGTTTCTGTGTGCTAATGCTCCTTTCCTCACATGCTTTGGCTAGCAATACTGTATATGATTATGATCTGTAGACTTTCATTAGCTTTGTGAAGTGAGAGCGAGCGGCCATGAATTTATGATCAGCCGGGCACACCACGTAAAAGACCCACATATAAGATGCCTGAACATTGCAAGGTCCATCTGGCTGCTTGTTTTAAATCCTGTCATTAAAGGGGTGATGAACTGAGAAATCAAATTTTCCTTGAGCTTTTGACATCTAAGAGGTCATCATATTATAAGAATATCCTGTAAGTTTCGGAACTGAAAACGTCCTTGTTAGTCCAATAAAAGCTTTTATTGACACAGCCTCTGCAAACGACTCGTTTTTAAAAGTGGGGAACTATGACGACAAAGAGGATAAAACACCACCCCCACAGAAGATGATCAACGCCTGCTTCACCACGGCAGGTTTAGCTTCGCCCACCGATTCGCGCATTTCACACATAGCTAAGTAACATACATGTGCTTACCTCGTGATGACAAACTGGATCGCTACCGAGCAATACAGAATATTGTGCAGTGTCTGGTTGTGCAAGACAGTCGCTGCATAAGCTTCCTGTGAATTCCAATAGGACTGCATGGATAAACTTTATTTTTAATGACGTTCCAGCTGATGAGGGTAAAACATCGTTGTCTGTTCGCTTCATTTCACTGAGGATTGTTTTGTCAACAAGACTGGATTTGCAGACCGATTAAGAGTAAAGAACGGTGCTGTGCCGTCTATATTGGATCTGACAGGAATATTGTGCAACACTCAGACTCTGGGTTGAACATGTATGGGCGAATCCGGTTGCCATTTTACAACATTGGACGTTTTCCCCCACGTACACCGACGGGTGAGTTAAACTCATTATAATATGCAAAACTGTTATCCACTCACAGCAGTGGGCGTTTATTTCCAAGTCTTCAGTGTGACACACCCATAAAAACCAACCGTTTTTCAGGAAGGCTCACAACTTGGGTACAAAATAGCCTATTACTTATTCATTTTGATGTTTTTGAATGCAAAAACCAAGCGAACGTCTTAAGTTGACCTCAGACAACAATATAATAACATTTTAAAAGCCAGTTCATGACCCCTTTAACATAAACCAATCAGCAAGTATGAAAAGTAAATGCACAGTTTACATTTATCATTATATATAGATTATGATATTTAACTATGACAGTTTTACATATATTACCTAAATTCTATTTATTAAGAATAATTTTCAGCCCCCCTCCAATATCGTTGCAACCCACTGGGGGTGGGACATAACCTTTGTGAACTCCACAGGGGTGCGTTTACCAAGGCAGACTATGGTAGAAAGTTCCGTCGTAACCAATATAGTTCAATGGAACTTTCGAACATAGTTGGCTAACGATTCTTTTGGGAAATTCACCCCAGGTAAGTAGTGATTTTTATCTGACAAAGTGGACTATTGTTGTGTATGTCTGTAGGTTGTCTGGCTGCATGGTGACAGAGGAGGGCTGTCGTTATCTTTCTTCAGCTCTGAGTTCAAACCACTCACGCCTGAGAGAGCTGGATCTGAGCTACAATCACCCTAGAGATTTAGGAGTCAAGCTGCTGTCTGATAGACTGAACCATTCGAGCTGCACACTAGACAAACTAAAGTATGTTGACACTACTGCGTATGCTTGTTTGTTTCCTGAATATATCAGATCTGCAGAATGTCTGTTTTACACTTTGTGTTTTACAGTGTGGATAATGGAGGAGAGTTGAGGATTACAGTAGGACTTCACAAATGTACGTGTACACACACACACACACACACACACACACACCCCTACACCTTTTGTGATTGTTTTATGTCTCTCTTTTTGAGTTCAGATGCCTGTGATCTCACACTGGATCCAAACACAGCACACAATTGTCTCATTCTATCTGAGAAGAACAGAAAGGCGACATATGTGGGAGAGTACCAGTCATATTCTGATCATCCGGAGAGATTTGATGGGTGTCCTCAGGTTCTGTGTAGAGAAAGTCTGTCTGGACGCTGTTACTGGGAGGCTGAATGGAGTGGAAATGCTATTATAGCAGTGACATATAAAGGAATCAGAAGGAAAGGAGGGAGTTGTACCTGTGAATTTGGATACAATAAAAACTCCTGGAGTCTGATATGCTTCAATGACAAATTTACTGTCTGGCACAATCTTATTTCAATTGACATATGTGTCCCTTCACACTCCTATCGGAGAGTAGGAATATATGTGGATGTGTCAGCTGGCATTCTGTCCTTTTATAGTGTCTCTAACACACACACACTCACACACTTACACACATTCAACAACGCATTCACGGAGTCTCTCTATGCTGGATTTACTGTTTTTGATACAGTGTCTCTGTGTCAGTAAATAACAAAAAGTCAATGAGTAACAACAGAGGCACCCACATTCCTGAGGGGAAAAAAAATCTCACTTGATATGTTAGTATTTTTTATTGTGGGGTGGTGGTGTGGTGGTGCTGGGAGGGGGAGCTCAACTTTTTCCTTTCTGCCCCAGACTGAGTTGATGTATTCATGTGTTCTGTATGTTGTAAGATTCTATTGTGTAGTGGAAATTTTAATATTCACTGATCCTTAGTAGGTATTACAAAGTAGTGTGAGTCAAATGTTTCTATTGTGTGAACAGGATATATGTATGTTTGTATACCTATGGAAATTCAGGAGTAAGACATTTTGGGAACAGCTGGGAAGGGACCTTTGACCCTAATATTTACCCTATGTGGCGAACAGGACGGCCGAGGGACCTGAGAGAATGGCGTGAGGCCGGTTGTGCGATTGCTAATGAGCAACACCTGTGAGCACACCGGTCTTGCATCTCTCACGGAGGAGCGGAAGCATAAAGGGGGAGCGATGATGTGGATGATCGAGAGAGGAACAGGCCTGGTTTTTGTTTGTATTTTATTTTTGGTAGCCAGCAGTCGTCCACGAGGGGCTGCTGGCGGTTTTTACTTTTTGTGTATTATTTGCGTTTTATTTTGGAAGCCAGCAGTCGGCCGTGAGGGGCTGCTGGCGGTTACTTTGAGTTTGTTTGTTTCAAATTAAATAAAGTTTTTGTTATTATTTGCTGGTTCTCCTTCTTTCCTGAACTTTGCTACACCCTAGTATTTACCTTTAGTGGTCTTAAGCGTTAACTATTGATGAATAGAAGGATATGCAACAGCATATGTAATATTTTGAACGTGCATGGGGAGAAAAGAAACCCGCTGTATAAAGGCTGCTCGGCTCTTCCTGTCAGTGTCTCGCTCACTCCACAGAGTAACTGCTGTGTTGGCGACTGGGACTACTCTTGCCAGAATAAATACTTCTCTTTTTATTAATTTGACTCTGAGTGTCTCTTACATAGTGATGATATTTAACAGAATTTTTTTCACAACAATTGTGATTGTGAAATCTTGGCTGAAAGTTAAGTTTATTGGAACTGGAGCCCAAAAGTTGTAACTATTTGCTAAGCTAATTGTTTAAAGCTTATCTTCCAAAGAAGGATGGGGGGTTGAGGCCAATTCTACATCTCAGGGTTTTAAACCCGATCTCTGAGGAGGTTCAGGTTCAAAATGCTTACCATTCCTGTAATCATGAGTCAGATCAGATCCGAGGACTGGTTCGTCACGATAGATCTAAAAGACACCTATTATCACTTATCTATCCTTCAATGTCATGTGGGTTCTTCCGTTCGGCCTAGCACTCTCTCAGGATGCAGCACTTGCTCCACTGAGACTTCAAGGCATTCACATATTGAATTGTCCCGAGGACTGGCTCATTCTGGCTCAGTCCCGAGAAATGGCAGTTCGGCATCGAGATGTTGTCCTTGGCCACGTTCAGAAATTGGGGTTGAGACTCAACACAAAGAAGACTGTGCTTGAACCATCCCAGTGCACAACATTTTTGGGAGTCGTGTGGAACTCGATTACGATGCAGGCACGATGCATGTCTCCTGCACGTATCGAGTCCATTCTGGCGATGGTATCCAGGTTAGGCCAGGCCATCACTGTAAAGCAATTTCAAAGACTGCTGGGCCTCATGACAGCAGCATCCAACATCATTCCTTTGGGCCTTCTACACATGAGGCCCCGTCAGTGGTGGCTGAAAGCCAAGGGGTTTTACCTCAAGGGGAATCCATTTCGTATGATCAGAGTTACGCACAGATGCCTTCGTTCTCTGGTAATATGGAAGAAACCTTGGTTCCTATCCCAAGGGCCAATGCTAGGAGCATAATGTGGCCAGAAAACCATCTCGACAGATGCCTCCCTCACTGGCTGGGGCACGGTCATGGACGGCTGCTTTTCCAGGGGTCTGTGGCAGGACCATCATCATTCTTGGCACATAAATTGTCTAGAAATGTTGACTGTGTTCAGGGCTCTGAGGAGCTTCCCTCCAGACATCAAGGGTTATCATGTCTTGATACTGTGGCAGGCCAATGTTCAAGAAAGGAGCCCATGAGCCAAGAAGTAGGTCTCAGCTGGGAAGAATTATTAATGATGAATACTTCCACCTGTGCACCCTCCAAACATGGAACCACTCACAGCTGTAGCCAATAATGGTCTGATTGGGATCACTATAAATAGGTGATCTCTGTCACTAGAGAAAGGATGATCTTGGGTGCAGACAGGCCCAGGGTGAGAGGAGGAAACTGAGGGAGGCCTAGAGTGAGACTGGTTGAAGAGTGAGAAAAGATACAGTTAAAACTTCTTACTTCTGCTTGATCAAGATTGTCTTTCATTTTCCCCATCAAGGAGGCCTGGAGTTCAAGTGGATGGTGAAGACACAACAGTCACAAGTTCCCCAGAACGGGAAGAATCTAAGTTCCAGTTTTGATCTCTTCTTTTCAACGCCTATATATTTTTGTGTTAAATAAAATACCTTTTCTGTTGACGCCAACCCTCTCTCCTGTGTGGTTGAGTTTTGGGGCAACTGAACCCTCTCCTAGCCTTGGTGACACCTCACAGGTGGTGGAGAATGCGGGCATAGCGACCAATGCTTGAGTGCCACAAAACTAGACCCAGAGAAGAAGACAATGGAAGATGCAATCAAGGCCTTGTTGACCAGCCATGCCAAACAGAGAGAGGAGCTACATGCCCTTAGGGAAGCCGTTTCTACCATGTGTCAAGTCATGTCTAAGTCCAACTCCACCCTAGACCCTGGACGGGTCCTCACCAAGCAAACTCCGGAAGATGATGTGGAAGCTTACTTGGAAGTCTTTGAAAGAACCGCGGTCCGAGAGAGGTGGCGCGAAGAAGATTGGGGTGCACTGTTGGCACCTTTTTTAACGGGCGAGGCCCAGAGGGCCTGTCAAGATTTATCTGCTCAGGACGCAGCTGAATATGGGAAGTTAAAGAAAGCTATTTTGTCCCATTATGGGCATAGCCTCCCTGCTCGTGCCCAACGTTTCCATGCATGGACTTTTGACCCCACCCAGACAGTAAGACCTCAGGTAGCCACATTGACTCGACTGACTAAGGCCTGGCTCAGCTCGGGGGATGGCCCCCCATTGATTGAGAGAATAGTGTTAGATCGTTGCATCCGTTCCCTGCCAGCTGAGGCCAAGCGCTATGCTGCACAAACCAGCCCTTCTGATGTTGCCACTCTAATAGCACTCTTGGAAAACCATCAAGTGACAGTGGAGGTAATGAAAACTAATCGTCAAGATCCACCCCGAATGGGCCGACCCAGCAGCCGGGGAGAAAGAGGTGGACCACTGAAGACCCACGGTGATTCTCAGGAGACAAGGTCTTCCACCTCAGCCCAGCGTCAAAACCAATCTCACTGGCAGACTCTCAGCAACCAGACCCCACGAAGGTGTTACTCCTGTGGACAGGAAGGTCATCTCTCCTGGAGCTGCCCCGGGAAAGAAGAATCCATGCCCTCCGCTGACTCAGCAAGTAAGGCTTGCCACTATGGAACAACTTGTTGGGCCCGCCAGGGGTCAATAGCTCCACGAATTCCAGTAAGAGTGGCCAATCGAGACACAGAAGCTCTACTGGACTCAGGAAGTATGGTTACCTTAGTGCGGCCGGAATTTGCACTAGGCCAGAAGGGTCCCCCGATTGTGGTGTCTTGCATTCATGGAGATCAGAAAAGCTACCCCACCGTGCTGGTGGAGATGATCACCCCCAGAGGAGTCTGCACTTTTAAGGCAGGGGTGGTCGACAATCTGCCATTTCCAGTCCTGATAGGTAGGGACTGTCCAGTGTATGAGCGTTACTTATCCCTAGTCAACCGAAGCCCCCCTGGAAGGCTCACAAGTCAAGTAAAACCAAGCCCCAAGAAACCTCAGCTCCTTCGGGCGTTTGCAGCACCCTCAGGCCGGGAATCAGAGAGCGAGTCTGGAATCCCAGGAAAAAATGAAGTGAATGAGCCATCTGGAAAGGTAGCAGAGAGTCCCTCCACTAGCGGAGTCTTTTCTGAGTTTCCTGAAGCAGAAATGATAGAAAGTAACCAGCCAGGGCAGTTTGGAACAGCTCAGCTACAAGATCCTAACCTCGAACAGGCATGGAGAAGCGTCAAGGTGGTTGATGACCAGTTAATAGAGGGGGTGAGTGCAATATCTTATCCACATTTTTCGGTTAAAAATCACTTGCTATACCGTGTCATCAAGGTTGAAGATGAATTAGTTGAACAGTTGCTGGTACCTAAACCATATGTTTCCAAAGTCTTGTACTTGGCTCACTCACACCTTCTGGGGGCACACCTGGGGACAGAAAAGACCTACGAACGCATACTGAGAAGGTTTTATTGGCCGGGGGTGAAGCGAGCAGTCGAAGATTACTGCAAGCAGTGTACAACCTGCCAGAAGACCAGTCCGAAGGTAAACTACCGCAACCCATTGGTTCCTTTACCCATTATCGATGTCCCTTTTCACAGAATAGCAATGGACATCCTGGGCCCTCTGCCCAAAACCAGTAAAGGCCATCGATACATCTTGGTAATCCTGGATTATGCCACCCGGTATCCAGAGGCCATACCCCTACGAGCAGCAACGGCAAAAGCAGTGGCCAGAGAGACATTCCAACTTTTCAGCCGAGTGGGAATTGTAGAGGAGATACTAACAGACCAGGGTACCTGTTTCATGTCCAAAGTCCTGAAAGAGATGGGTAAACTGTTAAAGGTGAGACAGATTCGTACCTCTGTTTATCATCCCCAAACAGACGGGTTGGTTGAGAGGTTTAATCAGACCTTAAAACAAATGCTGAGAAAACTAATTGAAGTGGATGGGAAGAACTGGGATCAGTTGCTTCCTTATGTTCTGTTCTCCATTAGGGAAGTTCCACAGAGTTCCACAGGATTCTCACCATTTGAACTTCTCTATGGACGAAGACCCAGAGGCTTGTTGGATGTGGCCAAAGAGGTCTGGGAGAACCAACCGTCGCCTCATCGCTCTGTGGTAGAGCACGTAGAGCAAATGCAGCAGCGGATGAATCAGGTATGGCCAATTGTTAGAGAACACATGAAACACGCGCAAGAGGCCCAAGCAAAAATCTACAACAGGGGAGCCCAACTAAGAGAGTTTCAACCAGGAGAAAAGGTCATGGTGTTGGTCCCCACCCATGAATGTAAGTTTCTTGCCAAGTGGCATGGGCCGTATGAAGTGGTTGAACGAGTGGGTCCAGTGAACTATAAGGTGAGACAGCCTGGCCGACGTAAGGTACTCCAGACCTATCATGTAAACTTACTCAAGAAATGGTATGACCCTGAACAATGTCTCCTCTCCACCCTGCCGTCCCCAGTACCAGTGGAAGTGGAAATGGGTGCCCAGCTAACCCCAAGCCAGCGACAAGACCTCCAGGAGTTGATAAGCCAACATTTAGACACATTCTCTCTACTGCCAGGTCGGACCACAGTGGTATACCATGATATAGTCACAGAGCCTGGGAAGAAGGTGAGATTGAAACCCTATCGCATCCCAGAAGCCCGACGAGAAGCAATCCGCAAAGAAGTAAGAAAGATGTTGGACTTGAACATCATCGAGGAGTCCAACAGTGCATGGTCGAGCCCAATTGTTCTGGTCCCTAAACCTGATGGCAGCGTACGATTTTGTAATGATTTTAGAAAATTAAATGAAATCT